AGAAACAGAATTAATTATATGGGAATTGAAGCTTAATAAGAACGAATGAACAAACATCGTACACTTGTGAAACGGCAACAGATATTTGACACTTGAAACGCTTCGGAACATACATAAACCATCTTCAGCATCTTATTCATATCTGTTGTTAAGCGTAAAGCTACGCAATGAGCTATCTGTGCCGTTCCCACCACAGGCATGAAAACCCACTTTTTAGCGGTGTAAGTCTTCAGACTTACCGCTCAGCCACTGGGGGGCTAGCCCATCTTCGGCAAGCTATATTAAACAAAATAAAATATAAGATACAAAGGTTTTTAAGTCTATCCAGTTACAGCGTTTTATAATAAGATACAAATTAAAGGAAGGAACTTAAATAGAAATATGTTTAGAACAACGTATATGTTGCAATATCACCGATTTGTATTTTATTTTGTGGAATTACACAAGCTGTGGTTATGTTATTATTTACAGTTAGGAGTTCACGTATAATAGTTTGACTCTCACTTTAACTAAGAGGTCATTCTTTGATGATCCATGATCCAGATCATAGGTGCCTAACACACATTGCAGAAGGGGCATGTGCCATTCCCCCCACCACATTTTTACAGTTAATGTACAAACACTATTAGCTGGAGAATAAACTACTCAAAGCTGCCTTTCAACACTCCAACCGGGTCCGGCATGGCCAGGTGATTAAGGCGCTTGACTCACAATCTGATGGTCACCAGTACGGATCCTCCGTCCCACCAAAAATGTTCGCCCTTTCAGCCGTGGGGGCATTATAATGTGACGATTCGTTGGTAAAAGAGTAGCATTCCCTCTAGTCTTTCACTGCTAAATTAGGGACGGCTAGTGCGCGAATTCAAACCGAAAGAGTCAACTGTATGACCAACTAGATGGCGCGGCAGTAGAGTCATCTTCAGGGCCGTCTCGTGCAAGCATATTTCTATGGTCCTATATACAAGGAATGCTGTTGTCGTATCTGTACAATTTCGAAGTTTTGGCCTCATTAAAAAGTTCTTAGATTTGATTTGAAATATGTTTTTGGTTGGAATGGAATAAGAAATAATACCTAAATCATGCGCATGCGTCCCACCTGATTGGAAGTAGAGCCTGAAGCGCAGTATCTTTTCTTTTTCTTTTTTTTTTACAATATAACATGACACCCAAAAATATTGGTAAAATTGAAACATAAAATGACCATGACAAAATGATTTGCTGGTATGGCGTACCAGTACTTTCACCACTGCCTCGAGCCCACCGCTGAGCCACTAGGAGGCGATGGAACACGTTTGTTTGTAATTAAGCACAAAGCTACACAATGGACTACCTGTGCTCTGCCCACCACGGGTATCAAAACCAGAATTCTAGCGTTGTAAGTCCGCAGACATACCGCTGTGCCACTGGGGGGGGGGGGGCTCCGAAACGTTCAAGTATTAAATATTTGTTGTTTTTCTACTTTTTCCCATCATTAAAGATACAGAAAATCTGCTTACAGAAACTTCCTTCATAAAATGCTATTCGTTTGTTTACTTGTGTATAACTAATAGCATCAATTGTTAGTTTGAGAAATAGATATTTTAGAGATTGGTTATCCCATGATGCGGATTAATTCCGCTTGTTTAGAATTTATTAATACACAACAAAGACACCAATAAATATTAAAAGTGAGATATTAGAGATAAAACAATTAAGAAATCGCTAGAGTGCGTAACTCTCTGATGGTCCGCCATTAATGACATAAAAAAAAGCTAGATTTTTGTATGTTCTAAAAATCAAAATGAGCTCAATATTACAACTTAGTGGTAAAAAAAAACAACAACAGAGAAACGTGATAAAAGGTGATTTAGAATTAAACATTATTTCTGTCTGTGAGCTCACCTCCTTTTCCTAGGCGGAGTTTGTGGGCAAGATCTTCCGTTGAACCGTACACAAAATTAGCGTCAAGGGGTGATGTGTCCAGATTGATGTGGGTTCTCGGGCCTGCCGGGAAAAAAACAACCAAAAACATTAAGTGCGAAGTTAGAAAATCCATCTCATATTTTGTGCTATTCATGCACAAAATACAGGATTAGTGTAAGTTACATACAGAGTTTTAAGTAATGTTATTTATGCACAAAATGCAGGATTAGTGTGAGTTACATACAGAGTTTTAAGTAATGTTATTTATACACAAAATGTAGGATTAGTGTAAGCTACATACAGAGTTTTAAGTAATGTTATTTATGCACAAAATGCAGGATTAGTGTGAGTTACATACAGAGTTTTAAGTAATGTTATTTATGCACAAAATGAAGGATTAGTGTGAGTTACATACAGAGTTTTAAGTAATGTTATTTATGCACAAAATGCAGGATTAGTGTAAATTGCATAAATAGTTTTAAGTAATGTTATTTATGCACAAAGTGCAGGATTAGTGTAAGTTACATTCAGAGTTTTAAGTAATTTTATCTATACACAAAATGCAGGATTAGTGTAAGTTACATACAGAGTTTTAACTGGTTTAGAGAGTTGTTTGCCTAATGAAAGTTTCTGTGTTCATCATTAAAACGTTAATTATTTCCATGACATAGTGTTTGAACGATAGATACAAAGTCGAGAATGGTCTTACTTCTAAACTAACCATCGTACCTTTTTTTCCGATTGAAACTCATCCTTAAAACATTAGAGTAGTTTCACTCATCATTAGATAGGTTCTAACCTTGTTTCAGAAGGGCTGTTACAATATTCCATCTAACGATGCAAAGTTTTTAACTTAACTTCGAAGTTATTACACTATCGTGTTTTTCTTTCATTTGACCAAATCTTTCATATACGAAAAAAACAACGAAAAACAATGACGTCCAAGATATAATAGCACTATTAAAAATGGCATCAGCAACAATGCAAAGTGGAGAAAAAAATATTACGCAAAAAACGTACACCTGTTTTTTCCCACCTTGTGGGAGGAAGCGGTGTAATTTTTAGTGCACCATTTCTACCACTATAGATTCTTAGGCCTACTTTTACGAGTGTCGTATGTTTACTACTACTGAGGCCATTATTACCAGCGCCATTTCTACCACAGTCATTATTAACGGGCACGTTGATCTATATCTTACTGTACTGGCCTTGCTGTTTGTAAAAGTAAAAAAATATTAATATATTAATTGCACTACTAATATATGTATATAACACTAAAATTTAAATAAAACGTACATCAATATGGTCTGTGTGCACTAACCCAGAACAAATTTTTACCTCGACTAGTCATGGAGAACAAAATTTTTTATGAGTTCATTGGTTAGAAAAACGGAATTTAACAGTCCAGAACAACAATGTTGTTATCTCGAGTAGTCGTGAAAGACAGGTTTATTTATATAAAAGCAAAACCACATTGCCTATCTGCTGTGCCCACCGCGGGAAATTGAACCCCATATTTTTGGGTTGTAAATCCGTAGACTTACCGCTGTCATACCAGTGGACGTGAAAGACAGAATTTCTGTTGAGGTTATTGGTTAGAAACGAGTTTTTTTTTTTTAGTTCAGAACTCAACTAACGAGCTCTCAACACGACATAAATAATACATCAAATAAACTTTCATATACACGTGTATGTAACTTGTATACTTGTAGAGAAAGGAACTGATATTCATGTGTGTTTTCTGTTTAGTTGTCAAGTTAATTTTTAAAATGGCTCTTGTTAAGTTATACAAAGGCCTTTATCAAAAACACACCTTCAGAGATTAAATTTTGCAGGTATTCGTACGCCGGAACTCGATCGTTCAAGTTAGAAAAATGTGGTTTATTTCGGTGATGCATTAATCCGGGTACTTACTTGTTAAAATATTCCGAAAATCACGTAAGTTACTAAAACAACACCATATCACTTAATGGGCTAAAATACCCTCGTGAATACTTACTTGTTAAAATATTCCGAAAATCACGTACGTTACTAAAACAACACCATATCACTTAATGGGCTAAAATACCTCCATGAATACTTACATATTGAAATATTTCTAAAGTCACGTAAATTACTAAAACAACACCATACACTTAATGGGCTAAAATACCCTCGTGAATACTTACATATTGAAATATTCCTAAAATCACGTAAATTACTAAAACACCATATCACTTAATGGGCTAAAATACCTTCATGAATACTTACATGTTGAAATATTCCTAAAATCCCGTAAATTACTAAAACAACACCATATCACTTAATGGGCTAAAATACCTCCATGAATACTTACATGTTGAAATATTCCTAAAATCCCGTAAATTACTAAAACAACACCATATCACTTAATGGGCTAAAATGCCCTCGTGAATACTTACATATTGAAATATTTCTAAAATCACGTAAATTACTAAAACAACACCATATGACTTAATGGGCTAAAATGCCCTCGTGAATACTTACGTACTGAAATATTCCTAAAATCACGTAAATTACTAAAACAACACCATATGACTTAATGGGCTAAAATGCCCTCGTGAATACTTACATATTGAAACATTCCTAAAATAACGTAAATTACTAAAACAGCACCATATCACTTAATGGGCTAAAATGCCCTGGTGAATACTTACATATTGAAATATTCCTAAAATAACGTAAATTACTAAAACAGCACCATATCACTTAATGGGCTAAAATGCCCTGGTGAATACTTACATACTGAAATATTCCTAAAAAAACTCTCAATCTTAATAAAACATTCACACTGTGTGAAATATACTCGTAAAAATTTATCTACCCAAAATATCAGGCAGGCGGTACCACTACCTATGCAGGGATGGCTCGGATTGTTAATCGAAATGGTATTTTAAATATCACCTGAATAGGTCATCAGAATTTTACAATACTATACAGTGTTTCCTTTTATAGCAATATATATGTAATGACTAAGTCACAAGTTATGGGAATGTCTGTAAATATCATAGCAAAAGGTTTGAATTTCTTGTTCTTCTTTCTTCTGCTTCTTTTTTATTACAAAAACCAAAACAATGGTGTCAACTGATTTCACCGAGGTGACAAAGTTTCAAACGGAGTATCCGCTTTTACAAATGTTATTAAAAACTAGTAGTAAGTTTTAAAAAAATCGTAATTCTTGTGTAAACGATGTTATTATTCCCTTTGAAGCTAGCTTTCTTACAGAAATTTGACGTTCCTTTAAAACACTTAAATACAGGGTGAAACAGAAATTACCAGCCAATGAACTATATTGCAGTTGAAACCTCATTATATTTCAAACTTGGTTATAACTACAACCTTCCAGTGTCTGTATAAACATTGCATTAAAAAAACAAGTAAAGAAAAACTGTTCAAAAAAGGAAGTAAATGTAGGGATGGTTAATATCAATCATTCAAAAACAATGCAAACAAGATAGTAGGGATGGCATTTGCATCATCCTTACATAATAACACAGGCAGGAATTAATATATATAACTATTCAGTCACAACTGAGTTTAATTTATTTTTGTCTGTTAACATTCTACTACACTGTGTTCCTGCGCTATGTTGCGATTGGATTAAACTACCTTTGAGTTCTGATAAAGAAACCTAATCAACTAATCACCTACCGAGAGTGCATCCGGGTCTTTGACCAGCCTCCAGACGCTTAAATTCCATACATTGTTGACCATAACGGGAATAGAATGGATCGTCGGGTGGTATGTCGATTGTCATACAGTTGGGATGCTGGATCTCTTTAGGGATTCCACAGCACTTAAAGTCCAAGTCACGTTCGTCTGAAACACCGTGAAACAATAAAGATCAAATAATACAATGGTAACGTTGTAGCGATCAGATATCAATCGTTGTCTATACGATCACCTAAATCTAATTACACAGTACTGTGATGATTTTATTGTCAACACAGGCCTGCAATGGTTTTATTGTTAACACAGGACTGCGATGGTTTTATTGTCTTGAAATTTCTACATGTTCTACAGTAATTCCTGTATGCCGAATCCGAAAATAATATTCATTTTTCTCCATCACGTACAGATTTTTCACAAAACGTCATAACGAATCCATAAAAGAAAGACCACAACACGTAGTTTGAGCCTAAAAAAATGTAGAATTCACACAAAAAAAAAATCAGGATGAATGAGGATGCATATTCGTTTGATATCAATGTTCCTCCCTTTTCTTCGGTTTGTTTGTATTTTTGTTAACAAATGTAATAATAAAAAATGTTCATTGTGGTAAACGAAATAATTATTTGATCTAAGTAAGAGTGTTTTTCTTCCCGATTTCTATCCTTACGCGATAGAAAAAAAATGATATTATTTTCGAAATCTGCGTAGCTGAATTATGGAAAATCCGTTATTAAAACCGAAACAACTTTATGAAGTTTAAATTCGCAAGCTTGTATACGTACGGTGTTTTTAGATTCATTCTACTCACCACAATCAACCTATATTTGTATAGGGATTGAAGAATATGTAGTAACATTGGTGCTACTAGTCACCACAATCAACCTACGTTTGTATAGGGATTGAAGAATATGTAGTAACATTGGTGCTACTAGTCACCACAATCAACCTACGTTTGTATAGGGATTAAGAATATGTAGTAACATTGGTGCTACTAGTCACCACAATCAACCTACGTTTGTATAATAGGGATTGAAGAATGTGTAGTAACATTGGTGTTACTAGTCACCACAATCAACCTACGTTTGTATGGGGATTCAAGAATATGTAGTAACATTGGTGTTACTAGTCACCACAATCAACCTACGTTTGTATA